AGTTATTGTTTAAGATACATATATTTGAATTTAAGTATATGTTAGTATAGATTTTGTGGGTTTTACTTTGCTTTCTCTAATAGGCTGAGAGTATTAAGATATTAATATATATTATATGAATCTTACTTTCAAAATTTGTCTTCATTTATCTACTCAGTAAACATTTATTTTTGTCCATCATATGTAGACCTTTGGAATAAAACAAAGAAATCAAATAGATATATTCTAAGAAAGAAAGAAAATAAGCAAATAAAATAATATCATGGTGAATGATGATGTGAGGAACATTGGTGTATTTTTTTCTGTTTAATACCTAGACAATTCAGTGAAGATATGTTAGATAAGAAACCAGCTAGGCAGTCCCCTGGGGAAATAGAGCTCAGGAGGGAAGAATCAGAGGGAAAGACAGATGCAATCCAGCTGGCTTGTTGCTAGCCCAGATGGAGGACCACAGCCCAGAGTAGAGGGATGAAATGACCTGAGATGAGGTCAAGAAAACCATGAGGGTATTACATTAGGGATGGATGTGGGCCACCATCAGAACAAGTGCTTTATTATGAATGAAATAGGAAGTTTGGAAGTGTTGATAATCTGATTTAATCCCTAAATGGATCACAACATCTTGGGTATGAAGTGGTAGGAGGGAGGGTCCTGGTTCCAAGAGTCAAGGCAGAAACTAGAGACACTCAGAAACTTGCATGATAATCCTGTTAAAGCAATGATTTCTTATAACTTAGTCCTGTTTTGTCTATTCATGAATATACATTGTCATCATTGCTGTAAGTTCTATACAGACCAGGTTTTTAAAAAGATTATTTGTAGGAAGTGGTGCTGTGGCTCAAGTGGTAGAGCGCTCGCCTTGAGCTGAAGAGCTGAGGGACAGTGCCCAAGCCCAGAGTTCAAGCCCCACGACCAACAAAAAATAAAAATAAAAAAAAATAAAAAGATTATTTGTAGACCCCAGAACCCATTAACATAAAGAAAAGACATTTGTTGATCCAAAGTAAAAAATAAATTGTTGTTAATAGCTCTTACTTGGTTTTGACCCATACTCCACAATTCTGTGCATATTTTCTCCATATATTGAATTTCTTAATACATTATGCACATTATAGCAATAGGATTTTTCTCTTACTAAGGGAAATTTGAGGGAGGAAGGAGAGAATAAAAGGAATGTGTGAGGAATCTATAATAATGGTAAAAATAAACCAACATATATACATAATATATATTACATACATATGTATGTGTGTTTGTGTATCTGGCTTACTTTATGCATTTTATCAACTACTTAAGAAATAAACTCATCTTCTATTTTACCTTAACCTCTATGCAGAATATATATGTATTGTGGAATTTTAAAACCATAGAATGGCAAACAGGCTTCTATTCTTATGTGATAGCCCCTGATGCCAGAACCTACTGAGATTTATTGAGTAATCCTGTAATGTTCTTGACAATTCACAGGTAAGGTAAAGCTGTTCCAGTCTCCAGGGAAAGGAATATGCCTTGCAGAGGGCTGTAAATCAAACTTTCATGGTAAACTAGCCATTAATAATTAATTTTCTGCATCCTTTAGAATAGGACAGGTTAAGCAGTTGGTCACATTCAGTAAATAAGGAATTACTTGCCATAATATCTGCCACATTCTCATCATCTTCCCATTTCTGAAACCCACTTGAAAAGTCTTTGATCTGGATTACAGTGGAAAGGACATTGAGTGAAAAGAAAATAGAAGGGTTGATTATGAATTCAGCATTGCCTCTTTCTTAGACTGTGGCTTGGGAATGTCATTTAATCTAAACATCTCCATTTATTTTGTAGTAATGGAGAGCATAGGAATTCATATCCTGTGAAGTTGTTATGAGAACCCTCTAAGACACATGAATGCAGATGATAAACATTGAACACATCATGCACCCAAACACGTAAAGTTCCTCTAGAATTACCCAACCTTGAAGAGGTGTTTCAGAATTCTAGCTCACACCAGAACAAATGTCATCTTGTGAAATGAGAAATATGTCTCCTCTATATTTGTTCTACATATTATTAAAACTTACAATACACTGTAATTGTTAAATTATACCAGTAAAAAAGGAGTTTATTCCCTTCATTAATTCCATAAGGAAAAAAATTTCAATTAACAAGAACTTTACAACTTTGACTTCTAAGTTTGGATTCTGTAGATGGCCAACTGGCTGCAAATTACATTTTGCAGTTCACCTTATTCCTTACATTTTTCCTGCTGATGAGTTTCATACAGCTGGCAGCAGCCTGCCCTGTTGCTTTCAACTGGCAATTTGGTAGCAATCTCAAATACTGTGTTCAATCCCCCAAGGTATTCTGCAGAAATGCTGTCAAACTATTTCAATGAATGTGTGTTTTCATTCTGTAGCTGTGCTTTGTACTCATTTAAGAAAACCAGTCTTTAATTTGTAGCAGAACATTTTCAAGATGAAACATAGAATTCCTGGCCTCAGCAAAATCATTCACTTATGACCATAGCCTCCTGTTCAAACTGTAATGTGCTTGACTTGTATTAAGTCTAAAACAGCATTTATAAATCTTGTTATAGTATCTGACTTTGAATAAATTGCTTTGATTTGTCTTTAAAATATACATTGGTTGTTCTGTTGCTTACCATCTCCTCTGGCTCTAGTTGATCTTTCCAATCTAATCTTTCAGACCTTTTACCCTGCATCTTATGATTATTTCCACTTTGTCTAGCTCTTTACATGGCATGGTCCATATATCAAATTTCTGTCTACAAAGCTATGTTTTTAAACTATCATCTTTATATCTAGGCATTGCCATCTTCAAAAAGCCTTTCTCTTCTCTCTCATCACCTTACTGTGTTATGTAATTCTCCTTTATAGCTCATATATCTTGTGTACAATATAATAAAATATTTTCAATGTTAATAGTTGGTATTTTAACTGTTCTTAGAAGCCTAAAACATTTGGAGCAAAGGCACATTTTGAAGCCATAACTGTGTGAAAAATGAGTGCTTCTTAGAAAAATATTGAAAAGACAGCAAAAAATTGCTACTAAATGGGTTATACTAGTTCTGCTGTATTTAATTACTACATCCAGCAGTTTATAGTTTCATCAGTAATGTACCTTAGAATTTCAGTGCTTATTTAGTAAATAGTTTGATTTTGATCTGGACTTTTCATTAAGTAAGTATTGCATGATAGGAGGATTCTAATGGTGTAACTCTTGTGAAAACTTGTAGTTTAACAAAATTTATACCAAGAAGATAGAATATGTGTTGTCAGTATTTAGGAGGCAGAAGTGCAAGGTTGAGGAACAGATAAATGGAGAGAAGAGCAGAGTAGGCAAAACAGGCATAATGTTCAGTGTATACATGTGAAATAGAACTAGGTACATTGAGGGCTGGGGTTGAGAGAGATGGTGGAGAATGGTGGAAGAGGACATGGATCAATATGCTTTGTACTCAAAAACTCGCATGCTGGGTCAGAGGGGAGCTCTATGTGAAGTCTTTTCAGGAACCTCCATACTGCTTTCCAAAGTGGTTGAACAAGTTTACACTCCCACCAAAAATGAAGTAAGGTTCCCTTCTGTCCATATCCCCTCCAGCATATGTTGTTGTTAGAGTTCTTGATTACAGCCATTTTAACTGGGGTTAGGTGGTATCTCAATGTTGTTTTGATTTGCATTTCTCCAGCAATCCCACTTTTGGGCATTTACCCAAATGTTTACAAACAAGACCACACTAAAGCTACCAGCTCAACTATGTTTATTGCAGCATTATTTACCATAGCTAAGATATGGAACCAACCCAGATGCCCCTCAGTAGATGAATTGATCAAAAAATGTGGTATATATACACAATGGAATTCTATGCCTCCATCAGAAAGAATGACATTGCCCATTTGTTAGGAAATGGAAAGGCTTGGAAAAAATTATATTAAGTGAAGTAAGCCAAGCCCAAAGAAACATAGATCCCATGGTTTCTCTTATTTGCAATATCTAGTATATGTATGAGTCAAGCAGAAAAGGTCAGATAGTGTGATGTTAGGGAAATGAACCCTTAGATATGTATTTAAATGTTTTATTTTTCTTTCATGCATTTGTTTCTAACTCATTTATAAGATTATTTCTTTGTTGCTTTGTATGTCCCTCCCCCAGAGTATAACCCCTTCTTTCACTGTATTTGATGTCAGTATAATTTGTGGAGGAGATGGGGAAAAACAAGTCGTTTAAGGATACAGGTGGACCCGTTGCAACTATGAGAAGCACAAGTTGTCATGTCCAAAACAAACTGTATAACTTTGGTGCTGGTGGGGGAGGACTGAGTAGGGGGATGGGGGGAGGCTGGGAAGGGATGTGAAGGGTAAACAAAGGAGGAGGCTGCAATGCTTGATAAGAAATATACTCATTATCTTGCCCATGTAATTGTAACCCCTCTGTACAGTATGTTCACAAAAAATAAAAATTAAAAAAAAACTCGCATGCTGAATTGAAAACACTTACACAACTATATAATAATAATATAATAATAGTTCAAGGAAATAATTTGAAAATGAACACATAGTTGGCCTCATTTATACTTCCTACCTCTGTTATATGCAAATTTGGATTCTGTCAAACAAGGTTAACCTATAGGCCTTTCCTACTCCTTATCATTTTAAACATAGCTATAGATTTCAATATAGAAAGTTCTTGTTTGAATTTATTTCACTTTATTTACATTTATTTACCATGCAGACAGAATGAGAAAGCAATTTTGAGCTGGGTTAAAATATATGCACGTAGGACATGCCTTTAAAGGACTGACAATTGTATTCAGGTATTGTTTCACATTTGCAATGGCATTGCCAGCTATCCTGGTACATTCATGTCTCCTGAGCTTATGTCTGATGTTTGCACTGGACGGTGTGCTATTATTTCACATATGGAAATAACTCTCAGAACACAGATAATGTTTTCTCTCATTTTCATTTTGATTAATGGCATCTGTCTCTGGTAATTTTTAGGTGTTATTTGGAAGATGGAGCTTCAAAGGGTGCCTGGCTGAACCGATCAAGTATTATTTTTGCCGGAGGCGATAAGTGGTCAGTGGATCCTCGGGTTTCAATTTCAACATTGAATAAAAGAGATTACAGCCTCCAGATACAGAATGTAGATGTGACAGATGATGGCCCATACACGTGTTCTGTTCAGACTCAACATACACCGCGAACAATGCAAGTGCACCTAACTGTGCAAGGTAGGCATGTTCAAAGTGCTATTTTATGGGAGACTGTGCTTAAACCTAAATGTTGTCTAGAAGAATGACTCTGAAGCAAGTAACAATATTGAAAAACATACATTGTCTTTGTCTTCAGCAAAATACATTCCTAGGTACTGTAGCTGCAATGGAAATTATAGACAATGAAATCCTCACAAAGATCAAGTTATAGTATAATTACTACATTATGATTTTTGTAGATGATCCATTCTCTTCCTTTGAATCATCTCTAAAACAAATCTTTTTAAATAAGTTTTTTATTGTGAAAAATACTGTACCTCTAGAGGGGTTACAGTTACATGAGCAAGGTAATGAGTATGTTTCTTATTAAGCATTGTTGCCTCCTCCTTTGCTTTTTCCCTACCATCCCTTCACTCCCACCTCCACAACTTCACCCCCCACCTCTGCCTAAATGGTTAAGTTCATTTTCAACATACTGTCTTGTACACCTCATTGTTGCAATGGGTCAACCTGTATCCTTATTTAAACATTTAGTTTTTTCCCTTCCCCTCCCCAAATTATACAAGCATCAAATACAGTGAAAACAGGGGTTATACCATGGGGGAGGGACATACAAAACAGCAAAAAATTCACATGGTACCTTATAAATTCATTAGAAACAATAGCCAGAAAGACAAAAACACTTATGTCCCTATCTTGGGGTTCCTCTCACTTAACATAATCTTATCTGACCTTTTCTGCTTGTCCCAGACATATACTAGTTACTGAAAATAAGGCAAATCATGGGACCTATCTTTCATTGGGTTTGTCTTACTTCACTTATAGGTTCCTCAAAAGACTCCAAATAGAGCTCCCCTATGACCCAGCAATCCCACTTTTGGGCATTTACTCAAATGATCACAAACAAGACCATACTAAAGCTATCAACACAACTATGTTTATTGCAGCATTATTTATCATAGCTAAAATAAATCGTTGTGGGCTCATAATCAATACATTAAAATGAACATTTGAAAACCTATGTCAGATAGATACATTGAAATACAAAAGTCTGTGAAACATAATGTCTAAAAGTCATTCTCCTAGCCTTTCAATACTCTCTCTGTCTATAATTCCTGTTATTCATTCCAGTCGCAATGAACAGGCAGAAGCCTTCTCGAATTTCCTTATTTAAAGAGTAATTGACAAAATATGTATAAATACAATGCTTTATATTTTATTTACAATCGAGAGATTATAAATCATTCTAGGTAACTAATAATCTTCAAAGGCAAACAGAATCATCCAATTATTTTGTTTTGCTTGTGTATTTAAATATGAAACCCTAAATTTCCAGGTCTGTGGCTAACACCTGCAATCAGAGCTAGACAGAGTTGAGATCTGAAGATGGAGGTTTGAAAGCAGCTTGGGCAGGAAAGTCTGAGATTAATTTCTGATTAACAAGCAAAAAGCTGGAGGTAGAGGTGTACCTTAAATGATAGAACTCCAGCATTGAATGTAAAAGCTAAAGGACAGTGTCCAGGGCCTAATTTCAAACCCCATTATGGGCACAAAAACAAAAGAAAAACAAAAGAGAAAAGGAGAAAGAGAGAGAGAGGCAGAGAGACAGAGAGAGAGAGAATGAAAGAGACAAAGACAGAGAGACAGAGAGAGACAGAGAGAAGAAAAAAGAAAAATTAAAATTCTATATACCCCAATATAAATAAAAAACTATATTAGGAGAATGTAAAATGCATGTTTTTGTCTTTTTATATTACTTATTTATGTTCTATATATTGATTATGTACTGGTTGTTTAGAAACTTATTGTTCTGTGGAACTAAAAATGACAATAGAGTATTTTAAGTAAAATTAATAACATATAACATGATACTGTTGTGCCTCTACATACACGTTTAATGCCATTTGAAATCAAGTGAACAAGCTAGTTATAGGGTCTCTGAGATTGTCCTTCAATAAATCAAGACCAGAAATTAATTTTAGTACATGCATAAGTCTGCAAGCTATTGCTAACCTATAACATTACTACCTGAGATTTATGTCCTTATATAAATTTAACTTAAATTCAAACAGGACTTCATATATTCAAAAGTATGGTATTCAATGGTAAACTTATTAATTTTTTTAAAAAAGAAAAGTATAAATTTAAAAAATAATGAATATTAGAGTGTTGCTTACTGTGGTCATACAGTGTCATATGAAAAATACAATTTTTTCCCAATCCACCTTCATTTTATAGTGCTGGGGGTTGAAGCTGGGCTTTTAATATTCTAGGCAACCTCTCTACCATTCAGCTACATCACCGGTACCAGAGTCCATTTTAAGCAAATATTATTATAAAATGTCAGAAGGGAGGAGTTTGTTGCTTCAAAAGCTCATGTGATATATAAAGACTTAGTTTCAGTTGTCTGCATGTGACAAGCCAATAGTTATTGGCTTCTTTATCAAATATTAGATGGCTATGGGTCTGTGGGTTCATTTTTGGTTCTCCCATTCTGTTTCAGTGATCCCCAGGCCAATTCTTGTGCTAGTAACAAGCTGTTTTTATTACTATGGCTTCGTAAAGAGTTTGAAGGTTTTTACTGATATTCCTCCAACTATGTTCTTCCTGCAAAGGATTACTTTTATTATTCAGGGTCTTCTGTTATTCCATATGAATTTTTAAATTACTTTCTCTACTTCATTGAAGAATGTTCTTGGGATTTTGATGGATTCTTCATTGTATTTGTAAATTGCCCTGGACAGTATTTTCACGATGTTATTTCTTCCAATTGAGGAACTTGGATGGTCCTTCCATTTCCTTAAATATTCAATTTTGTTTTTGAAACTTTTAAGTTACACAATAGAGATCTTTCATATCTTTGGTCAAATTCTAGTTTTGGAGGGTAGGGTTGAGACTATTACAAATAGAGTTGGTTTCCTGATTTCAGTCTCATTCTTCTCATTACTGGCATACAGGAAAGCTACTCATTTTTGTGGGTTTATTTTGTAACCTGTTATTTTACCAAAGTTTAGGATCAGCTCTAGTAGCTTGAGGAAGAGACTATAGGTCCCTTACAAACCTGATCATGTCATCTACAAAAAAGGAGAGTTTTATTTCTTCTTTCCCTATTTGGATCCATTTCATTTTTTACTCTTGCTAAGAATTCCAGTACTATACTGAAGAAGGGTGGAGAGACTGGATATCCTTGCATTGTTCCTGATCTTAGAAGAAATTGTTTTTTATTTCACCAGTAAAATAGTGACTGTAGGTTTGTCATATGGAGCCATTATTATCTTGAGGATGCCATGTATTCCTAGCTTCTCCAGAGCTTTTATCTTAAGGAGGTGTTGGATAGTATCAAAAACTTTTTCTGCATTTATTGAGATGATCATTTCATTCTTGTCCTTGCTTCTGTTGATGTGTTATACTGTATTACATATGTTGATTTATGTATATTGAATCAGACTTACATAGTGTATGCCTTTTGGGGGTTAGTTATTGAATTTGGTTGGCAAAAATTTCATTAAGAAGTTTAGCAGTGATGTTCATCAAAGAGATATATCTACAGTTCTCTTTGTTTGATAGGTTCCTATCTGATTTTGGTATGAGTGCAATAGTGCTTCATGGGTTTGGTAGTTATCTTTCCTTTGTATTTCATTGCAGAATGTGGCCTTGTAGAATACAGCTATAAATCCATCCTGGCTTTTTCTTGGATGGACAGTCATTTATTGATATTTCAATTTCAATACTTGTTATGAGTCTATTTCATTGGATTTAATCTTGATTTGGTATGGATAGATCTATGTTCTCAATGAATACATCAGAGAATCCAGATTCTTTGATTCCTTGACATAAAGTTTTGCAAAGTATTTCCTTATAATCTGAATTTTTTCCTGTTGTAATATTCACTTTTTCCTCTCTAATTGTATTTGTTTGGGTAATTTCTTAATTAGATTTGCTAAGGGTCTGTCAATTTTGTTAATTTTTTCAGAGAACCAATTCTTCATTTTATTGATAGTCTCAAATTCATTTATTTCTGTTTTAATTTTTATTATTCCTTTCCATCTATTGGTTTGGTCTTTGATTTATTCCTGCTGAGATTGCGGTATATCATTAGAGTGTTAATTTGAGATTTCTCTAAATTGTTGATATAGGCACTCAAAGATAAAATTTTCTTCTGAGTACTGTCTTTGCTGTGTCCCAGAGGCAGAATCAATTCAAAATGGATTAACAACTTCAGTGTAAAGCCAGAAATTCTGAAAATATTACAAGAAGAGTTAAGGGAAACACCAGAGCTCAGATGCACAGGTCAAAACTTTCTATGATCTAGAATCACCACAAAAAAAGAAATACTAAGACACTATGGTGAAAACGAACATTACAACTTGGGGGGGAGTAGTTAGGGAGGAAGGGAGGGACGAGATGGTAGGAGAAAAACAAAGGAAGAGGTAACAATGCTCGATAGGAAATGTGCTCATTATCTTACTCTGAACAATATTTTTAAAATAAAAAATATATACAAAATGCTGAAATAACACTCACAGAATGGGAGAAAAGTTTTGCCAAGTATACATCAGGCAAGGGTCTAATATCAAAAATGTACTTAACACTCAAAAAAATAACCATCCTCCCCAAAAATAAACCAGCAAAGAAACAACAACCAATTTAATAAATGGGCTAATGCCTTAAAGAGAAACTTCTCAGAAGAAATAAATATGACCATTAGACCCATGAAAAAATGTTCATATAGGAAATGCAAATTAAAAAAAACCACTTAGATTCTACCTCTCTCTATTTAGAATGGTTAGTATCAGGAAAACTTACAATAGCAAATGCTATTGAATGTGGCCAAAAGGGAAATCTATTACACTGCTGGTGGAATGTAAACTTGTTCAACTACTCTGCAAAGTTACATGGAGGTTCAGCAAAAGACTAAACATAAAACTGCCTTATGACCTATTCTATTCCAGGGTATGTATCCAGTACAGTATAAACTGGTCCACACTAAAGCAACCAGCACAACCATATTCACTGAG